GGAGGAGGATGGATGGACCATTAGCTATTGAAAAGCAAAAGATTGACAAGTGCGTTGTTCCTCTGGAATAATTGAGAGGGAGGACAGCAGCTGGAGGCAGAGTGAGGGGAAGACAAAGACGGCAGTCTGCACGTGAGCATAAAAGAACCGACTGCAACAAGAAAAAAAGAGGAGCTGCTTTGTTTCCTTTCTCTGGCAGGAGTTAGATGTTTTGCTGTTCCTCGTCTTGTGAATCTCGACTCCCTTTTTTCTACAAAGACTTCCAAACCTATCATTTGGACATTTGTGGAAAGACGCAAGAAATGCGATTTCACCAGACAGGAATAGACGCTCTTAGGGATGGAGGGGGAAAAAACAAGGGGGTGTGGTGGCAGCATGAAAAATATCCAGCATGAAAACATGGATTTTCTGGTAATATCGTCTCTCTGAACGGTTCATAATTATTTTTTGATGCAAACAGTCAAAGCCAATGAAAACCTAAGACACAGAAACTAAGTGATTTGTTGATGCTGCTCAATCTGCATGCGCATTATCCTGTGATGTGCTTTGATGAACCAAAGGAATGAAAAGCAAAGGTTACGGTGAAGGGGAGGATTGCTACTTATGCTGAAGGTTGCATTGAGGTCAGGGCTCCGGCGGAGGTGGAGCTCATTGTAATTGAACCTGTCAAAACCCGGTAGCGGTTAATGTAGTGCCTCCATTAGGTAACGCTGCAGCCCATGACGTGCAGCTCTCTGAGCATGATCAATGGCTCTGTTTGCCGTTTTTGCTATTGTTTCTGTTGCTCCTTTTCCTCATTGTTGATGATGGTAGTGACGATGTTAATGACTGTGGCAAAACTTCCCTAAGACTCATTATCTTTTCCAGAATCCAAAGTGGTTTGATTTAGCCGAGAAAAGCTTCACCTTGTTCTCTGTCCAAACATAGTATGCCAGCCCCTCGCCTCTGATTGTAAACACATCAAGATGCATTTATGGTATTCAAATATAAACTTTGAAGACCAGCAGTGAAAATATTGAGAAGCAAAGAATGTGTTGTATCTGCTGCTGTGCTACCACAAATATAATCTGAATCTGTGGGAAACGCTGACCTGTCAGTTAGAAATCATGACTAAAACAAAGTCCCCGTGGGATTAGATTAGCTTCATGAGTTGGTTGAAAATATTATTTTTGGCTGATTTTCCGAAGTTTCCACCAGCATGTTAAGAAAGATAACAAAATGGGGTTCAAAATTAGTACTTTGTAACAATAACAAATGTTTATTTTGTTCTTTTGAAACAAAAATTGTGTTTTTGTGTGGAACTAAAACAAATTAATTCAGATATGTTCCACAAAACAATGTCATTTTCTTTTTAATATTTCAGCTTCTATTCTGGAATTCTTGCTCAACCTTTTGCTGTCGGTCTTTCACAATAACTATAAAGATGTTTTAGTTTTTCAGACCGAGAAACCCTTGTGGAAAAGACAGAGCAACTTCCAGAAACCCAAATGAATGTGAACCATTCTGGGATTTGCAGAAACATCCTCTTTCCCTGCCTTAAGTGGGGCAGAGAGATCGATACTTCCCTGAGCCAGACCCAAATAAATCTGTAGAAATCTTTTTATGCTAGATGAGCTCTGTGTTTATCTCTTGCTACTGGTACACAGAAAGAACGGTTTCAATAGGCTCCTTGATTGGGCGTGTTTATCAGTCGACTTTTAGGGCTGTGTTACCGCCTTATTGGGGCCACAGCAGATCTATCTGCCTCTGTCCTGAATAGTGGCGTTTCAGCTGATGAATGGCTTTACTTTTTAATAAGTTTTCCACCTCTGGGACAATGTCTTCCCTCAAATCCAAGCTCCCACTTTCTCTCACTCTGTGAACGTGTTCATTGCTTTTGCTTTGACTCTTTTATTCCCTCTTCAGTTTTTTTTTTCAATTTGCATCACTTTCCTCCCTGCATCCACACTTTCATCTAATGATACAGCTCCCTCTGTCACAATGTTTAATAGCTCTTGGTTCAACTTGTCTCATTCTTCACATGTACCATGAGAATGTTAGTAGACTTGATTTTGTGAGTTTGTAAAATCCTATATTGCATGATCAGCACCTCAGCAATGACCCCTGGAACAGCATATTTGATCATTTTATCTGAGTTTGCTTTAGTTTCAACTGTTTATGTCCATGACAGCTTCCTGATCTATGTTCTGAGCAAACAAGCAAACTTCAACAACACATTTGCCAACACACAAGATCATAAAACTGGATGATGCTGTTAACTGATACTTGCTTATTCTCACTACAAAATAACATTCTCCTGATTTGTTCATCTTTTCTTTAAACATGATAAACCTTCAGTCCTGTAGCTGACCCTTCTATACGGCCCCTTTTGTAGCAAAACGCTTTCCTACTCAGCCACATTCAAACAAAGCTACACTCAATCATCCTCGGGGGATCAAAATGGAGAGGGATAAATAAAAACTGCGGACTGTCATCTGAGTTCACAATTCACAATAATCCTCAACAGCCTCAATAAGACTCAACGTGGATTAATAACAGGGATTAGTGTGACACAAACTGCACTCACGGGCAGAGATGAAGGAGGGAAGTCAGAAAAAACAAACATTTTGTTTGGTTCTAAATGCGCCAGCAGACCCACACACACACATGCTGCATCCTCAAGTCAATATTTGTGCGGCAGATCATTTATAATACGTTATTAACTGTGTGACAAATACATTTACTTTAAGATTAAATTATTTGGCAACCAAGATCTTCTTAGTGAACCAATCAGGGCCTTTCTCCCAGAATGTCTGATAACAAGCAAGCAGTTCTGTCACAAGGAGAGAAGAGAAAAAGGAAAAAGGCGGCAAGGAGCAGACTTTGTCTGCCAATAGTGGCAGACAGAGAGACAAGCACCCCTTTTATCTGCTCTATAATAAAGCATGAAATAGGCTGGTTAACTCTTGACTCTGGCGCTCACACCAGACTGTCAGTCCACTTCTGAGAGCTACGTGCTCAATCAAAGGAGACGAGCAACAACAAAGATGCTCTCTCCATGTTCGGTAATGACTTTTCATGTTGCGTTGAATGGATACACACACGACTATTCGAGCGTTTTTGGGGTTAAATTTAACACATTCAGAGGCATAGCTCTGTGAAAACTAATTGGAGGCTTTCTGATGGCGGCAAACACAACTCCTGGATGAGGATTCCCTCGAAGCCAAATGTTGAACTGCACCAGCTTAAATTCGCAGAGGGGGCAGCCACTCCGGAAACAGTCGGAGCTATAAATAAGACCAACAAAACATACGTGAACATACAGGAGGACAATGCAAATGCCACCGCTTAGCTTGTCACTGGAGGCAACCTGATCCGGGGCTGTTGCCACGAGAGGAGGGGCAGGGCGGCCCTGTCAACCTCGACAAGGAGGGTCGACAACCTCCCGGCATCTCCCGGGGCAACGGGAGAAGCTGTCAGGGTCCTGAGAGAGCTCGAGTCCTGGGGGTGAACACGTGTGACCACCCAGAGCAGAAAACCACGACGTGTTAGAAACTGCTGTCGGCATGAGTGACCCCCCCTTTGTCGGAGACCACTTTGACACGTGGCCCAACAGGTGAGACGTCTGACCATTAACCAAGTAGAGCCCGTTACCATGGCTCTATGATTGTATGCATCCAAAACTTATTTAAATGTACTAAAAAAAGCATTAAGGGGGGCATATCATGTCAAATCAGCCCAACAGAAACCAGTATTTGTGCTCATCGGCTGATGACACCATCCACCCTCCTGAAGCTTTTTGCAGACCACTCAAACGCTTTCAGATGGCATCGGAAGGCCTGAGTTGCCGCTTTAAATGGCGGAGCAGCGGCGAACACCCACGAAAACTACTCAGGAAGGCCTCAAAGATCATAACAAGCTGCTCTTTTGGCAGCCGCACAGAGTTGCAGAAGTGGTCCTCGTGTTGTGGCTTTTGGGTGTTCTTCACAGTCACCGAGCAGACTGCAGATAAAAGATGTTCCTTCACTTTGCTCCAAAGTGGGATGAGTCTTCACCCGGTTTCAGAAAAGAATGTGAATAAATTGTCACCTCCAGCAACAAAGAGGTAGGATGAAGTTGTTTAATCAATTCGAATTTATCTGTGTTGTGTTATCAGTGGAAATATTAGCAAGTATGTCTGGCTCTAGTGGTCAGGTGTCCAAGGTGGACACCCACTGCCCAGTGCTGGGTGGGATAGGTTCCAGACCCCCATAAAACTATGTGGAATAAACATGGATGGATGCATTATGCTTGCATGGAGTGAGGCTCTGCAAAGGCTGATGTGTCAGTATGTGTAAAGAGGCTGTCTCATATTTTCCCTACACAAATTATAAAGAAAAGAATCAAATGAAGAAAGGTTTAGGTGCTCTATTACCTGTATTACCTGTAAGCCATAATATGAACATCTTTAACCAATCCAGTGTACAGAAACTCTCTATTTAAAAGTTAAAGTATAGTTCATCCCACCAATTTGATGAGCAGGACTCATTGGTTGTGAGTCATTGTGTGTTTGCCTACTGTGCACAGGCGCAAGATCTCAGTAAGAACGTTTTGTTGGTGAGGAACCTTCCGAATTCACACAAACATACACGCACACACACTGAGCAACATGGAGGCGATCATCCATTGCTCTCGCACTCCAATCTGCTTTAATTTCAGAAGATAGCTAATTGCAATTAAGATGCACAGGGTGTTGAGCTGGGAACTAAAGGGAAGTAATCAGTGTTGATTATAGAGCCCGAGTTTGATCAGAGTAAATCATACTGCACGGCTCCTTTCTGTCACTCTCTATCTGATTCAGGGGTGTCAGTGGAACGGAGCCTGTTTTTTAGGGTGATTATATCCATGGCAGTGCCACAGACCCTGGCTCTCTCTGCAAGATTTGAAAGGATTATGGCACATGTGACACCATGAGGCTGTCCTAATCAGGCTTTTCCTCGAGAAAGATAGAATATGGGTCAAAAAAAGAAATGATAGCCCCTGTTTGTACAGTTTTCTTTTACTTGTATTGTTTAGATTTTTTTTTCTTGAAAACCATTCCTATCCTATTCCTTCTTTGTTTAATCTATTCTATTCCTGATTTATTTCTGAGCCGAGAGGCCAAACTTAACTCCATCACCATCTGTCAAAATCAGTGTAAATTGTGAGAGTAAAAAAGTATCAAAAAACATATTCTTGATGTTGACTGTATCTCTGGTGTGAAAATAATCTAAACTAAAACACATAATAGTGACATATTGCATTACAATACAAACATATAGGGACCTACAAACAATGCAAACCATCATCCATATGAATTTTAGAACCCATAAAGACAGCATCATGGATGCCTTTACATGCATGCATGTAAATCTTTCCCAACCTGACAGCTAACTAAAATAATTCAGGACTAATAACTTTTCCCAAGGGTCCATAAGCAAAGGTTAGTTACTGTGAGCATTAAATACCAGATCTATGAGTCCTCATTTCTAATTATATTTCATATTTTGGGATCCTAAAGACTGTAAACCCTTACTCTGACTTTAAAAACCAGTCGAGAAAAATCACTTCCCAGCTTTATTCATAGCATTTGCCATAGGTAAGAAAAAAGAAAAACAAATACAAGCTCATTTTCATTGGTTAACAGACACTGCCACCTAGTGAACGATAAAAGCAATTAAATAGGAACAGTAAATAGATCATAATTCATTTCATCTTAGCTAAGCTTAGCTTACAGTACACAGTGACACAAAAATCTCCATTAAACACACACATTATTGTTTACACAACTGCATCCATGCTTAATTTATACTTAATCTTAAAGTATTTTGTTTAAAACAAGGTTTTTCATGTGGAGTCATCTTAACATGATATATGGTTAATATGATATATGCTCATAAAAGTAGGAGATAGAAGCAGAAGCAAAAGGATTTTTTTTTTGCCTTTGTGCTTTGCTGAGGACGCAGCTGAAGGGAAAACACACAACACATACAAACTGGATAAGACCTAAGGCATAAACAAAGCCGTCATGCTAATTTCAAGGATGATCGATGAGTAATGGGTTTTAGAGCTGTTATCTCACTGGCCCGCCAGCACAGATAAGGATGCGTGGAATGGGGAGGAAAAAAAATCTGTGTTCATATTAAACACTTCCAACAGAACGAAGATGGTTGACCTTATCTAAACTGATCTAAAATGGAAAAATAAAATGATAAGAGATGGAGGGGAGAGAAACCCTGGAGAAGGTTTATCTGCAGTCTCAATCGAACAAGTCATCCAGGTCTTCACAGAACTCCTGAAAGCTGAAGTCTTCAACGGTGAAAGGAACATCTTTCCACTTCTTCACAGTCAGCCTTTCATCCGGAGTCTGAATGGCAAAGTTCTTAATGGCTATATTGGGTAGTAAAGCGATCTTTTTGTACTTCATCTCAAATCCCCAATCCTGTGAATTCACAGTGAAGCATCAGTCAGAGTCCACTATGATGAATGGTAACATAGAACATCTTAATAAGCACTTTACCTTGTTGCACTGGCCGTTACTACATCTGATAGAGCAGCCGGGTTCCCAGTCCTCAAAGGTCCTTGGTAGTCTCACCTGAACACCGGTGTTGTAGTGTCTCCTGAAGAAAACACACAAAAGCAAAAATCAAAGCTGGAATGAAGTTTGTTTTTAACTTGCATTTACACTTCCAACTTCTAAATACATAGACATCAACTCACCTGAATTCTCGATTGGGGTTGACATAGTGCACGTTGTCCAGGAGTTTGATGTCACTGCCGGAGGCCACTGGGTGAAAGCAGTTGCGACACAGCAGCTGGATATCGGAGGCGGCGTAGCGGCTCTTCTTCTCTGTTTTCTGGTTCTGCATAACCTTACAGCTGATGATGGCCTCTGCTTGCAGCTCAATAATCTACAGAGGAAAAAGAGTAAAGTTAGATAACCTGAGCCCAGAGCGGCCGACGAGATCGGACGGACGCCGTCACCTTTCTGCGAAACTCCTGCTGGTTCATTTGCTGGACCTTAGCGATGGCCTGCCCGGTGAGGACCTCCAGATCTTCGTTGATTTGCTCTCGGCGGAATTCCCGTCCCCCCGCCTGAGCGACCACCGAGTACTGGCTCTCTTGTGCCCGGGCACGTCCAATGGCCTGCTGCTGGGCAATCTCGTTTGTGAGCAGACCGTAGCGCACCACCAGGTTGCATTCAGGGATGTCCAGACCCTCTTCGGCCACGCTGGTGGAGATCAGGAGGTTGAGTTTACCCCCGCGGAACTTGCGGATCGTCTCCGCTTGCTCGTTCTGCAGCGAGGTATGAGAATCAAACCTTGAAAAGACTGAGGAGGAACGGGTCTGCACAGGCGCTAATGTGGAAGATCACAGTCAAGATCATGGGTGACTACTTTACCAACACACCTGCGTCATGTGTGTGCAGCCATTGCCAGCCCCGGTGAGGATGGCTGCCTTGATGCCAGCCGACTGGAGGGCGCGATTCTTGAGGACCCAGTCGTTTAGGCAGTGGGTGCTTTTTCTGGTTTTGCAGAAGAGGATTCCCTTCGATTCCACGTTAGAGCTGAATTGCTTCAGCAGGACGCTCTCCAGTTTCCCCATCTTTGGGTTCTCATAAACAGTATCTGTTGCAAGTTTCCGCAGCTCCACCCGATTCTCTGCAGGAGAGAAAGACAGAGAGAGAGAGGTTCCGTTTTTGGAGGAAACAAAAATGAAAGTCAGTCGGCTGCTGGTGAGTGGAGAACGTTTCAGGACCCCCACCTTGGAAAAGTCCCAGCAGTAAAAAGTCTGTTCCATCAATGGCTGTGTTTTCCTTGCTGTCGTAGAACTCCTGCAGGGAGTGGAAGGCGTCCATCATTCGCAGAGTGTCGTTGATGAGCAGGGCGTCGTTGTACTGTCTGAGGTGGAGCGCGCACTGGGCCAGCAGTCGGTTGTCCTCTCTAACTCCTAGCTCAAAGGGAAGCCGCCCATTTTTTCAAACGTCAGTCATTTAACTGGAGTGAATTTGAATACTTCAGTCGTCTAAAACGAAACGCCGTTCTCACCTCGCTGTTCAAGGATCACCACATCCGCCTCGTATTCTTGCGTGCCACACTCTCTCAGCCTAACGTCGGGAGGGAGGGCCATGACTTCGTGGATCTGTTGCATCATCCACTTCAGATGGTCTCCGAATGGATCCTGAAAGGAGAAGTGTCAGGACTGACCCACCACTCGGTTTTTGCGTTTGTAAAATTCCACAAACGCTACTTACTGCAACCCTCTTCTCCACAATGTCAAAGGTCTTGATGGGTCTGGGTACCTTCTTCGTCAGCTCGGGGACGTAGTTTTTAGTTGACACTATGGCGGAGTCCAAGTTGGCGCAAATCTGAAAAAAGAGAGGGACAACGATGATGGTGGAGAGAGGACAGAGGACGCCATCATTTCAAATCCTGATCGGAAGTCAAACTGACCTGCAGCACGTGATCCACAGCATTTTCCAGTGTCCTGCCCCCTCCCGTCCCCGGCGACGCTGTGAGACCCAGAATCTGTGGGAGTCGTCCTTGTCCTTTCAGCTTTTTCTCCAAATAGTGTCTCATGACTTTGTTATAGACGGACTCCTTGTGGGTGTGGTGGCATTCATCGATTATGAGCAGCGTGATATCTGTAGAGGACAGCACACGTCACCGGTCAGCTTGGCCTGCCCTCACAACGGCGCAGCTGAGCAGAAACAGCACCATCATTACTTACCCGACAGCTCTACGTGCCTCGTTTCCTCCTTGTTGGTCAGAGCGTTGTACAGGATCTGTGCCGTGCAGATGACCACGTCTTCCTTCTTTACCACTTTTCCAAAGAAATCCTTCTCATCGCTCTCTCCACTGACCTTGGCGAGTTTAAAGCGGTCACCCAGGTGAGGCTTGAACTCTTTGGTGTAATGCTGGTCAACAAGATGAACCTACAGAGAGGGTATCAAAAGCATTGTATCATGACTCTTAGGCCATCCCAACACAGTTTAGACCGTACTAATGTCTTTTATCTACGTTGTTTGGTGTACCTTGTTTACCAAGACCACCACCTTAGCATTTTTGGTGGTCTCCAGGTGTCTTCTGGCCACATAAACAGCGGCTCGAGTCTTTCCTCCACCCGTAGGCAGCCAGATGATGATGTTTTCTCCCCTGAGCGCCCTTTCAACCACTTCCTCCTGGTACGAACGCAGCTGAAAATCTGCCATCCTGCACGGTCCACTTGTCACTAAATGACTCACTGAAGTTTAGAGAAAGCTGCTGAAATAAAACAAGAGTATTTCATCAGAGATTTATGGAGGAAGTAGTATGAGTCAGCCTTTAAGTGTTTATGCTCGTAAGAAAGAAAAGAAGTCTTTTACGCTCACCAGTCAGCTGTGTTGGAGATCTGTAAAGTGTTCTGAGCTGCTTCCTCCCTGCTAGCCCTGCCCAGTAACGGTGGTGGGGTTTTAAATGCAGCTGGGATGAGTTTCATGACGTTGAAACTGGAAAACGAAAGTGAACTGTCTCAGACCTCACCAATGTGGCCCCACTGAGGGAGTATCTGGAGGGACAATGCTTAGTCGTTATCATGCAGCTACACAGGGAGTCTAAACAAACTGCACCCCAAAACTACTTTTCCAATATGTTTTGTTTGAATAAAACTTTGCCCAATTCACATTTGGTTGCTTATCTGTTGGTATTTATTCTATTGATAGTATGGAGCGTAAGTGTTTTGAGTATTGAAAAGGTCTGGTGTTTGCGCATGTGCCCTCACTAGGCCCTTTTCGTTGTTGTTCTATGAAAGCAAAACTCAAAGCTTTTGGTTTGCATGCATGAAATCCCTGGGACTGTTGACAAGTTAAGGCAGCTTGTTTTATGCCTATAGGGTAATGACATTCCTTCTGATTTCAGGTGAGTACACTAACTGTTCAGATGTAAATAATACTGATAATGAACTCTCACTTAAATGAATGAACATAACCAATCACAGGAATATCACATAACTGTAATATAAAAATACACAGAAAAACAATAAACGATCATAAGATGTATAAAAACAAACAAACATTTACCATCTAATTCCTTACAGGCACAATCACCCATACATTTGTTTAAGAAACTCAACAAAAATTACAAAGAAAAGCAGTAAACATTTGATAGTGGACTGGGTAGGATAGGGCAAAGTAGACTTAGCTTTCTCTTGGTTAATCATTACAAACACACAACATGAACCAGGAAAGCTGAGAGTGGAAAAATAAAGTCAACAACAGGTAAAACAGTGTCTTAGATTGTTAATTTGTTGAAGCAGATTTTGGCTGAGTCATCCAATTGCCGTTACGTCAGGAAAACGAAACCTACGGCCCACAGCTACACAACTAAACACAGACCAGGAAGGGCGAGGTCTTCTTAGCAAGAGACGCGTTTGCAAATGAACTTATCCTAATCACTCAAATATAGACATGAAACATAATGGTCTCAGTTCTTTCCAACAAACCCGACCTCTCCACCTGCACCAGTTTATTTCTAGTTTTTATTATATAAGATTTCACAGAGCACATTTCAGGGATTATCATCATGATTTCTGCATCACAAAGAGGCCTTTTTGATAAATGGATGTAGTCTAATTCCAATTCTCCTTTAAAGGTAAACTTTAAGCGACTAAAGTAGCAGAATTTGAACAGTCGAATTCAAAGACGATTAAAAAAAACGGGAATGGCTTGTTTTTTTTTAGTTGCTTCTTATTTTGTTTATTGGGGATTTCTGAAACCACAGTAACCACCTTTTTACAGGATTCCAGCTTAATTTTCCTGACAGCAACTTTGAGGCTGGTCAGTTACCTGGAAGGCTGGAGGTCAACGGCACATGAATCAGTCTTAAAAAGAAACAAAAAACACTTTATTGAAGTACAGGGTTACAGTTAATGGCATTTATACCGTAACTTGACAGCTTGAATCTTCACTCAGACTGAAGTTTGAAGGAAATCTGAAATGCAGCCAAGGTGGATTTTAGGTGAACTAAATGACTGGAAACCCTGAATAATGCAAGAAAAGACGTCACTTCATCGGATCAAAGCTAGCCACCATTCAAATACAAAATAAAGATATTCTCACACGCACATACAGTGTCAACAAAACATTCACCAAGTTAGATCGCTCGTTACAATTACACCCCCCCGAGAAAGGTGGATGCATCTCATCTCAGGAAGAACGTAGAACAAAAAATGTTCCAATGGAAATAATCAACAGTTTGTGTAAAAAAAACAATTAAAAAAGAACAATAAATTCAGGTATCTTTTAAATACAAATTGTAAACTGTCTGCCATGCATTAATATCTATTTCAGCTTGTGTACAGTGCGACGTGATAAATAAACCAAACACACCCCTTTCCCAAAAGCCACTACCATTCAAAGTCCTACTGGTCAGCATCTGCCCACCATGTCCGTTTCTTCACGTGAAACTATCTCGTGGACATCGGAGCGCCACAACAACCGTGTGGCAGCACGTAAAACCCTCCCTCCGGGCGGTTTGTGCAGAAAGTGACGGTACTACGGAGCGCCTGCAGCTGAGCCCTGCAGGCCAGCGCACAGCTACACTCAACAATGTGGAATGCTCAGATTTGACCTGTGAATAAGTCTCATCACATCAGCGCGACGCCATTGTTTTTCTGGAAGTTAACGGTTCGGATGTTGGCGAGTTTGGCACACAGAAATGACTTGATGCCCAGTCCAGGCCGAGCAGCGCTTCCAAGTGTAGCCAAAACCGACTTCTTTCCTGCGGGTTTCAGTCTCATCGTCTCGAGTAAGCTATGACATCCAAAACTGATACCTGTCTGCTGTTTGCTCAGACCAACAGCTAATTTTGCCATTTCAAGCTCTACTGAAACAACAAACCTTCACTCTTAAGGGCAAAGAAAACTATGCAAACGCAGTCTGTTTTTGCAACATTTGTTCGACTGGTTTCTGGTGAAAGTCTCTTCTGACTTCTCTGCAAAGCAATGCTCAGCTATCGAAAACAACGCCTGTGTTCACCTCCATGAACATTTATGCTCCCACTCAAGAAACTGGCTGGATGTTCAAGTGTCTGTCAGTAACGCAAGGCAACATGGCTTTAGGTCCCGAGGTCCATTTTTTTGTCGTAAAATTATCATGTGCGCACTGGCTGCTGTGATTTTTTTTTAAAAACCTGACAAAACTGGAATCAACAACTCACAGAAAAAAAACGGATCAATCAAACTACAACCTAGAAGAAGAGCAGTCTCAGAACCTGGACCTGAAACTTTGGTGCACTTGATGGAACATGATGTTTACGATGCTGATTAGTCCCACTGAGAGCAGGAAAGAGAAAATATTAAAGATCTAAGAGGAGGTCATTTGGATACTTGCGACTTTCAACTGACTCAAATCTTTTTGTTTGTTTCAGTTCCACAAATCCCTTGTAAAATCCATCCTGTACAGCTCGTTTGACCCCCCCCCCCCCCCCCGTGTGACCTGCTTCGTCCTGCTTATTTTTCAATCAGGCCACCGTCTTTTAATTTAAAATAGAAGAACTTCTCCAAAGTGTTGGCGCACTTGCAGTACTCGCTGTCTGGAGGGTTGTACTCCCGACAGTTGGTGATGATTCGCTGCAGGTCGGCAATAAAAAGCTTCTTGGTCACATAATATCTGTTCTTGAGTCGCTCCGTCATGGTCTTTAGGTCTGTGTGGACACAGATTTAGAACAACGTGATCTTTATGGAATAAACATTTGAATAAGGAATATCTGACAGGGGGAATAAATAACAGGTGGAGCTGCTGTGGTCAGAGAGGTCCTCACTGACCGATGGGAAAGCGGATGATCTCGTAATAATCTGGGGCTTCAGATTTCTTCACTGGCTCCATGAAGGGCCAGGCATCGGGATGAGTCTGTTTTGGAAGAATAACCAAGTCTTGTTTAGTGCGATTGCTTATTACTCTGGTGGTTCGCATGCGTTCTCGACAGTGTCACCTTTATCTGGGCCAGGAGGTTCTTCAGCATGTTGTACAGCACGTCAGGATCCTTCACCTCTTTCCTGTAAATCATTTAAACGGTTCAAACATGCCTGTGTCCTAAACAGGCTGGGTGGCTGGCCCAAAACGGATTAAAGGAAAACCACTGAGCATTCTTATGGTGAATGATTAAAGTCTGTGCGACAGGCCAGTTATCCTCTCATTGGGGGCAAGTTCTGGCCTTTTTGTGAACAGAAACGTATTCGCATTCTTTCATAAATGTGCACAAAGTGATGTCGTTTATCATGCATACAACAAATCCCATAAAATACTCAATTAAAAAAGCAGGACACAAGGTCATCTTCAGGAAGTCCTGCGTATGACCTCTGACCTTTGAATGGGGTGCCCCCTGCTGCAGCCTTTAGCCCACGCACACCCCTCTGAAATAACAGCCCTGTCACACCCTGCTCCAGGCAGCCCGCTGAATGAATCCCAGCCCACCTCGATTGACGCCAGCACTGCTTTGTCTCAACTAGCCGAATTAGAGAAAGAGTGAGTTCTCACCCTTTCTCCTTGTTGCTAGGTTTCCAGCCTGTTTCTCCTGAAAAATAATAAGAAAAACAAACAACCTGTGAGTGACACCATGAGATTGGCTGCATTTGGTGAGCCCCGTGCGCACACCGGACACTCACTTATGCCTGGGATGCTCTCCACGGGGATCTGTCGCACTCCCTCTTTGAAGCAGGTGAGGCCTGGGTAAACCTTTCTGATCTGACTTTGTTTCCTCTCAATCAGCTTCTTAATAATCTGTTATGACAATCAAGGCACATCAAAAACAAGCAAATTCCCCAAAAACGGGGCCACACTGTACATATCCGACATCCTCTCCTACCTCTTTCTGTCTCTTGATGATATGGGAGAGCTCGGTATAAGGGATTCTGGGGTTCAGCTCGCACTCCATCAGGGTCGCTCCTTCGTAGTCTTTAATGTAGCCCAGGTATCGACTCTTGGGCACCTTGATGTCTTTGGAAAAGCCCTACAACAACAAGTATCTTTAAGGAAGAGAAGGCGGGAGACAACGGAGGCGCGCATACGGCTCAAGTCCAGCCGGCAGTACCTGCTTCTTGAAGTAGCCGATGGCGTACTCGTCTGCATAAGTGAGGAAATAGAGGATGTTGTGTTTGATGTGGTACTCCTTCAGGTGATTCATCAGGTGGGTACCATAGCCCTACCGTTAAAGAGAGACGACGACACTATCATTAAAACATGCTTTCGTTGCAAACTGTTTCCAAATATCAATGTCGAATGTGTTTTTAAGGGGGGGGGGGGAAATCCAGACTCGGGCTATTGCGTACCTTAACTTGCTCGTTGGATGTGACGGCGCAGAAGACGATCTCTGTGAAGCCCTGAGTGGGGAACATCCTAAAACAGATGCCCCCTATGACACGGCCATCTTTAATGAGGGCGAGGGTTTTGTGCTTCCTGTGGAGAGTGGAGAGGTCAGGACGGGGCGGCGGGACCGGACACAGAAACACCTGCGAGCACATCCACTCACGGGTCGAACACCAGCCGTGTGATGTACTCTTTGGGCATGCGAGGCAACTGGTGAGAGAAGACGTTCTGCAGGCCCACCAGCCACATCAGGATCTTCTTGTTCGACTTCTGAGACAGCGAGTTGCCAATGACGTGGAACTCTATGATGCCCCGCCTCTCCTCCAGCCGGGCAGTCTCATCCCGAGCGGCATTCGGGGTAAGCAGATTGGTCTGGTGACACAAACATAGCTTTCCTATCAA